CATTGTACAATGAGGATATGAAGGAAATTTTATCATAGATATTTCATGTTTTGTCCAGTTAACCTGTTAGTTTTTTTAAGAAAAAAATAAAAACAAAATTTCTCTTAGAATCTGATCCAGTATTGAATTGTTTGTTGCACACTGAGATGGTTTTCACTGTAATCATCAGCTTTACGATGGTTAGGTGTTCATAAGTTCCTGTCCCCACAGAACCCGAACTATGACATTGCTCTCAGTTCCTCCCTCTCTCTTTTATTTAGAATGGGTGAGTTCTTTGTTTTGAATATTTTTTTCTTGAGACAGCCTTCCTATGTAGCCAAAATTGATCTCAAATTCATGGCTATCCCCCTAAGCTCTCAAGTGTTAGGAATGATGAGTGTACTACCAGACAATGGCTGGAATTCAATTTTAAAATTTCATTGTTGTCTACAAATTCCTGACACTTGTGTTAGGTTTTATAAAAATTTTGCCATATTAAGCACTTTGAATATACACTGTAGTTATTTTAAGCGTATTCAAGAATTTGCACAAGCCATGTTCAGAATTTGTTAGTCTCAGCAAGTTTTAACTCTGTTCATGTTAGGCAGCTACCCTCTTAGCTTCTACCCCCAGCCCTGACAACCACCACTCTACTTTTTGTCTCTGAAATTTTTTTAGTGCTGCAGTTGGTACCTAATTTATAAAAATATTTTATACAAAACTGTATGTTTATTATGTACAACAAAACAATACATGATCGTATCATGTGTAATAGCATCCTATCACACAGGTCAAGAATGAGAAAATGTGCACCAGCTGATTACTTGTAGTGATATAATGCCTTGAGTGGGATGACATTCTTCTGGGGAAAATTTTAATATTAGGCAATTCTTCTAGGAGTGTCAATAAGAAATTCCTAAATTAAAATTAAAACTTAATCCAATCTTTCTTCTCTTGTATTAGTCATGATATATTGTTTATAAAAAGTTTTAATTTACATGAAGGGATTTTTTAATTAAATTTCCTCGTAGCCCTTATTTCCTTAGTTTGTACAAAATACAATGGAGATCAGATCTTTATTTCCCATGTATAGAAAACATTCTATATTGGTGTTGTAAACCCTTACTTTAATATGTTGATCTCAAGAAGCAATCAATACTTGAGCAACAAGTCAACAGTTATTGGATTTAATATTAAGAAGACAGTCAATAACTTTGCCTGGGAGTGATAGTGATGGCTACCTTTTTTTCACTTATAAGGAATCTGCTATATGCACCACCATCAACGTGTCAAGGGGGCAGAGGGTTAGTTTCACAAAATCAGATGATTTCAGCACCAGAAATGTTTGTATTGGTTGGCTTGTGAGGTCAATTAAAAAATTAGGACAGCTTCTTCTTTGGACTTTTTGCTCAAATTGTGAGCATTCAGAACAGCACTATCACAACTCAGTGGCCATCCCACAGCCCCCAGATCTTTTCTTTCTCTCCCACTTCTGCTGTACTTAAATTATATGCCTGTTTCTCCTAAGGTATGACATGCCTCTTTTGAAGTTTTCCAAAGCTACCATGCATATATTTAGGATATAACTTTTGAATATTAACTTATGCTGTGACATATTAGCACATTACAAATTTTGACTCTACACTTTACAAACCATTGGCTTTTCTTCTTTATTCTCTACTTTATTATATTATTTTCATAAATATTTTTATCAATTCTTTGAGACTTTAATATGATATATTTTAGTCATATTTGCCCGAACTTCTCTTAACTTTTTCTAGCAGAGGACTTGAGAAATGAGACTTTTGCAGTAAATATTATCCTTGTTAATGATAATCAATATAGCCACATTATCATTCTTCATTCCCTTTTACAAAGGACTTTAAGATGGGAAGTGGTGGCACAAGGCTTTAATCCCAGCACTCTCTAGAGGCAGAGACAGGCAGATCTCTGAGTTCAAGACCAGCCTGGTCTACAGAGTGAGTTTCAGGACAGCCAGGGCTACACAGAGAAACCTTGCCTCAAACAAAACAAAACAAAAAACCCCAAAGTACTTTGTTTTATGTTTTTATTGATACGTGTGTAGGGGAGAACAGTATTCATGTTCATATCATTCTTGAGTGGCAAATGCTTGTACCTGTTGAGACATTTGCAAGCCTTCCCCATTCCCTTTTATGACCCTCAACTATATGGTGCAAGTTATTAGAGAAATGAACTGATAAATGTCTTGTAAATTTAATGAAACTAAAAGAAATTTAACACCAACACAGATGAGAGCAAATCAGCTAACATTTCAATTCACAATTATACGAGTTAATGCCCCTATTTCTTAGAAGGCTAAACAAATATTATATATATGAATGGAGGGCAGTAGTCCTCCATTAGCAGTTGTTGGCAATTTTGTTAATCTGTGATATCCTCTCTCTCTCTCTCTCCCTCCCTCCCTCCCTCCCTCCCTCCCTCTTTCTCCCCCCTTCTCCCCCCACCCTGTCCATGTGCATGCATCTATGTGAGCTTATGCTCCTGTAGGTTCTTAGAGGACAGAAGAAAGCATCAGTGTGCTCCCTACATTACTGTTCACCTCTTCCTTTGAGTGACTGTCTCCCAAAAGCCATGGTTCATACTTTCTCAGCTAGACCTGAAGGCAGTTAGCCTTAGCAATTCTCCTGTCTTTATCCACCTCAGAGATGGAGCTACAGGCATTCTGGGGACACTAAGCTTGCTATGAGGGTGCAAGAGATCTAGTCTTTGTAAGTGGAATTGTTATTATGTGTCAGTTCTAGGCTAGTGTGTCATCCAGAAAGTTGATAAAAACAGTGAAAGAAATGAAAATATGGTATCTTATTTAATAATTCACGATGTTCAGATTTTACTAGTGGGCTAAGTCTGATTAAATGTCTTTGATGCTGGCCTTTCTCACAGGATATGTGAATGGGCTAATACACAGCTTGAACATTTATCACAGAACATATCCTATACAGTGTATGCCTTATGCATCCTCAGGATACTAACTGGCTTGAGGCATTTCTCATAACAAACCACTTTTGAAATTATGGTACAATAAGCAAAATCATATTTTAAAAAGTCTTTCAGGACTAGAACTCAGGTTGAAAATCAATTAAGTGATGATTTGATTCTTCCTAGCATCAGAAGAGGGAAGCATACAAGTAGTTATAATTTATTTATGTACAACCACAAATACTCTATTCAATGATAATTTATTTATAGGTTATCAATTTATTTACATTTGTATTTATAAGATGTCCTCAATCTTAAATTTGCTCTTAAAATATTTAATACAGAATTTTGGTGGCCACACCATGGTCTTATGTGAGTAAGGGTCCAACACACAGTGATGTGGAGTCACCTGCTGGGAACATGTGGATTTGAATGCGGATGAGTGCACCTATGCAGGGCATTTTGGAATTGTCTTTTGTGATTCACACTGTTTCGAAGTGGACAATAAAATTTTTCTAAGGGTCAATGTAGCTTAATTATTTTGATTTTATGATGTCCATCATGTGCTAAATTCATAAGCCACCCTAAAGATTAGGATTCATACTGCTTTTCTATTATTTCTGATGATTTGTTATGTGATCCTGGTTTCTTTTGTCATCCTCATTAGCAAATATTTCTTCCTCCACCGTGAGAGGAAATGCAATGTGTCTGTCTTGTCTGGCAACGAACAAACCTCTAATTTCGATTTCTGTCCCTAGACCCCTTTCAGTATCTATAAACAGTAATTGGATGGATGCACATAATTTAAATGTCTACATTCAGGAGAGTAGGATAAGTCGTGCTTGCATTCTGAAGCTTAGGCATTGCTTAGACTTGGATTTTAGCCTCAGATTCTGCACAACTAAGAGGCTTATTTTCCCAACTGTATAAGCTAAAAACTGGTATTTTCGGGTCCATATTTTTCAGTGATTTGTGAGATGGAGTGAGTTATCTCCTGGGCCTGAGGTAGTTAACATTTTAAAAAGTCACACAAAAGTCCATATAACATCTCAACTTTATCTGAAATAAATAACAAATAAGGAAAGCTTTGGACAGAATAAGAGAACTTAGAAAACATCCCACAGATTTTATGTGCAGGGAAATTACTTTAGAAGGAGAATTGAAAAGGGATTGTTTGTGAAAAAGATAACAATAAAGTGAAGAAAGACACATTCCATTTGAAGTAGGCAAGGTGTATTTCAGGGCCCCATCTGTAAGGGAAGCATGCATTTCCCCCCCTCCTTTGTTGGTGATTCTTGGGGGGTTAAATGCTCATTGGAATAAAGGTGGGACAGATACAAAGTAGTTCAGCAGCATTCCACATTGCACAGAGAGATACCATCACCTCTAAAATATGAGAACATCAGAGCGATTGGAGTAGGCGTCATCTGGATCCTTTAATTCACAGTTCTCCCCACTAAGTTTACACAGTAAGTAAATCATCCACGGGCATGGGTGGAGCCCTAGAACTAATTCCGTATCGCGATGGTGTACACTGGAAGCGTTTTTGCTGTGCTGCAAAATCTCCTAATAAGCCCCTCATTTGTTCATCAGTGGACATCCTCCTGCCCCAGGATGTATATAGGTCACGGGAAACACCAGGCACAACCCACGTTTGGTTTTGTATTTCCAACTGTGACCAAGAGCATGCGATCCGCGAGGGAAGAGACACCTGTGCCTCGGGGACACAAGTGATGTCCCTCCACCTACCGGCGCATGAGAGCACACATTCTGCCTCTCTCAGCATCCTGGACGCCAGGCGGTCCTCACTGGCTCCTTGGCACTAGACAGGCCTGAGAATTGGGCCGGCTGAGGCGGCCAGGAGAGAGCAACTGCACTTCGCTTACCCCTCCCCACCACAGCAGCCTCCTGCCACTCAGGCGACTCGACGTGCGGCCTCGCCCAATGACGGCCCCCCGCCTCCGCGGGAGCCCCGCCCCCTGGCCCCGCTTCCAATGGGAGGCCGGCGGGGGCGGGCCGAGCGGGCAGCCTCTCCAGCTGAGGCCGCGGCTGGAGCCGGGCAAGGGGCGCGGGAGAAGCAGGTATCGGCGCGGGCTGCGCAGCCCCAGGCGCGAGAGCTGCGCTCACCGGCGGCGGAGGCAGAAGGACGGTCCCCGCGGGAGCCAGGGACCGCGGCGGCGTCCGAGCGGGCGGGGTTCGCGCCTGGCCGGGCACGGTCCGAAGTCCGCGCTATGGGAGAAGAGAAATACTTGCCTGAGCTGATGGCAGAGAAGGATAGTCTGGATCCATCTTTTGTGCACGCGTCGCGCCTTCTGGCAGAAGGTAGGACCGGCCCCGGCGCCTGCCAACCCGGGCAGGGCGAAGTTGGGGCGGGCGGGCGCTCCGCTGGGCAGAAACTGTCCCCAGGAGCCGCTTCTGAAGGCAGGAGCGCAGCGCGGGCTGCCGGGGCTCCTCAAAGGCTGAATTACTAGTGACCTAAGCCCTGAGGTCCAATGACAGGGTGATGAGACCTGTTAGGGTCCTGGACAGGGAAACCAGCAAGTGTCAGGTGGTCCATCCATGGGCACCTTTTCACTTCACAGAAGCCAGGGGAAATCAGTTCGGGGGAAATACGATCCATGGAGTGTTCTGAGAGCGTCTTGATCACAGATCAGCGTTATTTATTTATCATTCTTTTCCATTTCCATGTGATTTTGGTACCCTTTAATCAGTCTCCCCCCCCCCCCCCCGAAAGTCTTAGGATTAATCAGCATTAAAAGTATGCATGTTCGTGTATTTCCGTGAGCTTGGTAAGCAGAAGCTAAAGTGCTTATAAACGTATTTGGAACGTGATGATTGGATACTCTGAGAGATATTGGTCCCTAGGAACGCTCCATAATTGACCAACTGCTTTTTTTTTTTTAACCAGGTGTGCGTTTTCTTTTTTTGTACCTGTGATGTTAGCGGAGATTCCGTTCCCAGAAGAGCATCTATGTCTTGCCTTTTGCTTTGCTTTGAAAGGTCGTTTGCAAAAAGGCACACATGAAAACTTCTCTGTCAGAAATATTAACCCCAATTTATGTGAAACAATGCTAGCTACTAAAGACACCCCAGATACCCAGTATCCGCACATTGCTATTTAACACAACTGCAGAATCTTTGGATGAATGTTTCATTAATAATTGCTTCATCTTCAAACTGGTTACAGTGCAGGTTTGTAGCTTGAGGTCTTGCCCACTAGAAGAAACAGTGACATCGTCCCCTTGTCCAGATTCTCAGCATTAAAATAGATTTGGGACTTCATTTTGCATCGTAGAAATGTTTTGCTCCTCATATGATTCAGAGACATTAGATTTATTTGACATCTTAATGGCTTATTATTTATTATGACATACAATAACAAAGTATTTCATAAAAGACTGCCAGGAAGGAATTTATAATCAGAATGTAGAAGATTTGAAATATCTCAACTGCTTTCAAGGGAAGAGGCTGGCTTTGTAGATTACTTGGGGAGTGAAATGCAATCATGTTTACCACTTACCTAATAGTCAAATTATAGTAAATGAAAATGAAAAACTAAAGTCAAGAACTGTACTCTCTACTGTTAAAAGGCAACTGTATAATCATAGGAATATTGAAAAGGGATGACTTAATAAGCATTGGCAGATTAAAAATGTCTTTCAATTGCTCACTCCAGTCTAGTATTCAGAAGTGTTTCCATACAATAAAAAAGAATATGAATTCATGATCTTCTCTGACCTGAGTTATTTAACTAGAGCTCCCTTTGGGACGGATGGCTTAATAATTGATTCATCAGTTATTAATGTGTATTAATTGTACTTTCAAAACTTACAAAACTAAGAGCTGTAGATGAAGGTCTTATCAGAGTGAGATGCACAGATATTCCTGACCAGTGAAAGAGTAACTAGAACACTAAGTACCTGGCTTCCCGTCGCTTTTCTTTCTCAAGCACTGGATTTCTTCAGACCTTAAGAAATTGTTCTAATGCACCTTGTAATTTAATTTTTTCCCAGCAGGGGGAAGCATGGCCTGCTATTGTAATGGATCAGGAAAAAAGCTCCGAACTAGAAAGGCATCTCAGTAAGAAACAAAGAGGGTGCCAAAATTTCAGAGAATTCCTAATGAGAATAGAAAAAGAAGGAGGTGGCGACAGTAATCCGAGAGAGTAGCCAGACAGGTACATAAAAAGAATCACAGGGCGCACGTTACTTCTGTAACTCTACCCAGGCTCTTTACATATGCTTACTAGAGTGTAGGGTTGAGTGTGCTTTGGATTCTTAGTGAATCATAATGCACATGTTGCATTATAGATTTTTTTCATTGTCTCTCCAAAGGCCATTTGTGAAGGTTTCTAGGATCGCTGTAGAGATTTCATTTCTCATACCTGGAAATGCTCTGTTTGAAGACATCAGCTATAAATAAACCTGACACAGATCCTCAAATGGAAGAGAGGTGCACACTGAAGTGCATTTCAGCAGTGCTGTACAGACAGCTTTGAGACTGAGGGGGCAATAAGAATGGTCCAGATCATTCCATTCTTTGGGATGAGTTTCTAGGAGCAGTGATATAAAGCAAGGAGCTCTCACAATGACTTCCTTTGCTTTGAGATCACTGATAGACACAAGCCCATTCTCACTGTGCCTGCTTCATTCAGTACATTTTTGGTTGTTTTCATATATTCATTGTATTTTGTTTCATTTGCTTCTGCTTTGTGTTTCCAGTGGGGGTGATTCTAAAAATAATAAAAAAATAAAAACAAATAATTTATAAAGTTGACTATTATTGCAGATGATGAATAATATGGGCTAAGGTGTTTTCATAACGTATTTGATTAAAATAACTCCCCTCTGTCATTTCAATTTTATGTAGTTACTCATTTGTTATGGAAGATGTCTGTGAATATGATAATAGAACGAAACTCAGCATGATTCTAAAAGTTCTGGCCCAGGTCTGATTGGGCTTGAGTACTGAAGTTCCATGAAGTTATTTATAGCTATGCAACCTCCATTTAATTCCATGATTATTTAACCTGAATTTCGTGAGCGTACCTTCCCTGGGCCCAGTTTTTGTCTCTCAGATTACATAGTAAGACTAGGAAATCTGCATATTGCTGCAATTCTTGCTCCCAGATGTTTGCTGATTCGAAGAAGTGAATGTTTACATACTCAGAGTAGAAAAATCAATAGCTGAACATTTTGAAACTTTCTCATTCCTTCCTAGTTTAATGATTAATAATACATTTACTGCACTATAGTGCAATTTCAGGCATGTACATTATGTTGGACAGTGGAGACAGGCCCATGTTCTTAATTATATTGAATTACTTTGAAGACTTGGATCTTATTTGTAAAATATGTGTGTGAACATATGCTTGCTTTCTGTTGACTGTGCTGTTTGACAGATTCACATTTATTGATTCTATTATATTTTATACTTCGCAAAGAATTGCTAAATTCAAGTGAAAGTAACTTAAGCAAGACTTTCTTGCTTGTGTTCTTTGCAAATATCGATGGATTAGCCATTGTTTTAGCTAACTTGTAGTGCTGTAAAATCAAAGATTCCCAAATAAAATAGTTGCTGAGCTACTCTATGCACTCCTTTCAGAGTTTGGTGAAAACATGACTTGGCAGCTACAGTTAAGGTTTATGTTTGCAGATCTATGTGAATTTTTAAAAATGGGACAAAAGCAGAGATTTTTATTTGTCACAAATGGTAGCTTGTCAAAGCTGAGTTAGATTCAAATTCTCAGTAAGGATCACTTTAAAATTTAGATCATATAACCTAAATGTTTCCCACAGAGTCTGATAAGGTTATAAGTTATGGAACTTATTGATATCATGCCTAAAATCACCTTCTGATTAAAAAAAAGTATTCACACAGCTCTTTTAGTTGACTTGTTTCTTTCTTGTTGAATATAATGTCTTTTTTTCTCCCCATAGATTCAGAATAATCTTATTTACATTTCTTAAATACAAAGCAACCGGAGGCACAGATCAAAATCTTGATATTTTCAATCTGCATTCAACCCAATTAAAGACATGGGATAACACAATCTATTTCAGTGTGTAACACACTTGGTACTGCATAGTGACACTTCCATATGTAACTGTGATGCAATGGAGATGCCATTTGCTTTCCTGTATGATACTCAGTTGTTTTCATCTTTAAACAGGTAATGCAGTACTTAACAGACAGATACTTTAAGGTAAACATACTGCTTGCAGTAATAAGGGTAGAATTTTATGTAAATACAAGAAACACCTTTTCTTTAGCATTTGTATGCCATTGTCTCTCTAACTGCAATGCGAGAATAAATTTTATAAGAAAAGAAAAAATAATTACTGTTTTACTATTTAGTTACTGCTGAATAAATTTTTAACTCATAAATCATATTAGAAAACATATTCCCTTGTAAAATATGATTGCAGAGGGTGTTAAATGCCCCCTCCATCAATGGTTACTTGTCAGCCTAGCTTGGCCTGGTCAGTACTAGTTCTTTTCTTTGAGTGCTAAACCCAGATCTCACCAAGCTTCTTCAGCCTACAATACTTCCCTCTGAGTAAGTGGTTTCAGCCTCCTTGTTCTGTGCGTATGTTCTCTGCTGTGTTCCTTACTACTCACTACATTCAGACTTCATGCCTCCTACACATACAGACTTCCTGCCTATCCTCCCATACAGACTCCACACCCATCCTCACATGCAGACACAATGCCCATCCTCACATGCAGACATGCCCATCTTAACATAGAGACTCCATGCCCATCCTCACATGCAGACATGCCCATCTTAACATAGAGACTCCATGCCCATCGTCACATGCAGACATGCCCATCTTAACATAGAGACTCCATGCCCATCCTCACATGCAGACATGCCCATCCTAACATAGAGACTCCATGCCCATCCTCACATGCAGACTCCATGCCCATCCTGACATACAGACTCCATGCCCATCCTCACATGCAGACTCCATGCCCATCCTCACATGCAGACTCCATGCCCATCCTCACATACAGACTCCATGCACATCCTGACATACAGACTCCATGCCCATCCTCACATACAGACTCCATGCCCATCCTCACATGCAGACTCCATGCCCTTCCTCACATGCAGACTCCATGCCCATCCTCACATATAGAGACAATGCCCATCCTCACATATAGACACAATGCCCATCCTCACATGCAGACTCCATGCCCATCCTCACATACAGACTCCATGCCCATCCTCACATGCAGACTCCAAGCCCATCCTCACATGCAGACTCCATGCCCATCCTCACATGCAGACTCCATGCCCTTCTGCACATGCAGACTCC